ATGCAGCGTCTATGGAAGGGTGAGGAGACCACATTGAATAAGCAAACCTTTCCCCTTTAAATCTGCACCTCAGTGTTTAAAGCTGAACTCCGGGATCAGTCAATATTATCTACAAACAGAGTCATGTGTGTTCTTCCTGAACCTCGGAGAGCTTTGTGTATTTCTTCCACATCTGTGCAGTAATCCGGTGTGAGACTTGGAGACCGCTCACTGCAGCTCTCTCCTTGTGCAGAGGACTGGTCTTGTCTCCGCCCCCTCCTGTAATAAAGACAGGTAACTGCTGCTCTCTTCTTGTGCAGGGTGACTGCTCTTGTCTCCGCCCCCTCCTGTAATAAAGACCGGTCACTGCTGCTCTCTTCTTGTGCAGGGTGACTGGTCTTGTCTCCGCCCTCTCCTGTAATACAGACCGGTCACTGTTGCTATCTCTCCTTCTGCAGGGTACCTGGTCTTTTCTCTGCCCCCGCCTGTAATACAGACCGGTCACTGTTGCTATCTCTCCTCGTGCAGAGGACTGGTCTTTTCTTCGCCCCCTCCTGTAATAAAGACCGGTCACTGCTGCTCTCTCTCCTTGTGCAGGGTGACTGGTCTTGTCTCCGCCCCCTCCTGTAATACAGACCGGTCACTGCTGCTCTCTCCTTGTGCAGGGTGACTGGTCTTGTCCCCGCCCCCTCCTGTAATACAGGCCGGTCACTGCTGCTCTCTCCTTGTGCAGGGTGACTGGTCTTTTCTCCGCCCCCTCCTGTAATACAGACCAGTCACTGTTGCTATCTCTCCTTGTGCAGGGTGACTGGTCTTGTCTCCGCCCCCTCCTGTAATACAGACCGATCACTGCTGCTCTCTCCTTGTGCAGGGTGACTGGTCTTTTCTCCTCCCTCTTCTGTAATAAAGCTTACAATTCAATATGTCCCATCGCATCCTGACCACAAATAACCACATGCTGCTAACGTGCGTACAAACGTGCAGTCACGGTGCCGCCTAGGTGTGAACTAGAGCTAAGGGACTTGAATGTATTGTTAAGATTTACCTCCGGAGTGTATTGTCACTTTCAAAAAAGTAACATTTGGCCTTGTTATAGACTGTAATATCTTCCATTATATGGTAGCGATTTGTTTCTGTCTGACTTTCACATCAGATGACCCGGGCTCCGTCTTACACCAGGAAGTCGTGTGAGCAAACATTCACACCCCTGGGAGGTGCTTTTATCTACAACTTGCTGTGTAATACTTCACCGGCTTCCTCGCTGGACAAATCTCTATCTCCAGTCCAGGAATAAGTTCGATTTTCTATTTCAGTGTCAAAAGAAAAGACACAAACATGATATTTCCTGGTCCTCCGACTTCCCCCACCTCCCTGCTGTGCGGTGGAACAGCTCAGATTAACTCTGGTATTTGGTACAGTAAAAAAAAAAGTCACCTTTGCATAAGTCGCTCTGTGTTTGTGGCGCACGATGACAAAAAAAGGAAACGACGAAGACGTGGAACGTGGGGGGAGTTTATATTCAAGAGATTAGAAGTTTTTTTTTAATCATTTTATATGTGCTGTTATGTTCAGCTTCCAGATACAGGTATGTGTGTGTTCTGCTTTTAAACAATCTTCCCCCTTCCACCCCAACCACCTAGAGCAAATCACATCATAGTATTAAAAACACTATGGGGGGTAACTATCAAAACGGGAGCAGACAAAATCTGGAGCAGATTTGCACGGCAACCAATCAGCTTCTCTCTTCTGTTTGCTCAGGTAAGATTTGAAAATGAGACAGCGAAGCTGATTGGTCTGCTCCAGTTTTTAGAAATCCCCCCTCCCCCCCATTAAATATATAGATCTGATTATTGTCCTTAGTAAGTCCCGGTTTTATTGGCTGGAATTGATTTCCTCTCCTGAAATCAGGAACATGCTAATCCTTTTTGGGTTTTTTTCTCCTTATTGACTCCTCCTTTCTTTCTTTTCTCCTCTTTTCATTGCTCAGCTGCAGGATGCAACTTCCTGGTGTAACACAGATCCCGGGCAGCCTCGTTTTATCAATCTGAAGGTTTTCCTTCTAGGTACC